TCATCAAAGTTATCAAATCAAAAACAATACATTAAAAGCAAAACATTTCATCCACATTTTAAAAAGAAAATTATTCTAAAATATATGTATTCTGTATTTGACAAACAGTTCATTCGACAAATGAAAACTCACAGGAATATGTTTCAGCTATTAGAACAGAATGATACTAGTTTAAAAACGCACTTCAAAGATTGCAGTGTTTGAAGATGTAGATTCTCAGGAGGCAACAGTACTGTTGACTTCTCCCTCCAATGGACACCAACTAACTATTTAAGTTGATTTGCATACAAAGCAGAGCTTGCAACATGATAGCTATTTATAAAGGGTGTTTTTTTTTTTACTTTTCATATAATACAGTAGTCACACAATGAGGCAGTTCATATTTGTCTCAGTGAATCAGTAATTTTTGACAGACACCTGTACAAAATACTTGGACTAAAGCCAGCTAAAATTTTCTGTTATCTTGCATGTTTTATGAATCTATTCACATCTAAATGCAGCACTTTTTTTTTTTCAATGAGACATTTGTTTTTATACTAAAATATCTGAATTACTTTGAAGAAAGCTGGAAATTATGTTTATATATTGTGATGTTTTCATGTATAGTGCTATAGACAATGTTAAATACCATCTCTTTGGTTAATAATTAACTTTTTTTAGAAAATTTAAGAAAAAGTGAAAAAAATAATAATTATCAGACATGTAAATGAGTAATATATAGATAAGTTCCAGGTTTGCCTGTTGCTAGGTTACCATGTACGTGATAGTGTCAATTTTTCTATATTTGAAAAGAGGTTGCCATATTTCTGATCATCTTCACTGTTATCGCATATTGTGCTTTTGCAGTAATTTATTGCTACATGGATGATTACCTGTTTCACAGATATCTAAAGAAGCACTTAATGGATTTTGCTGAAACTTTGTACATGTACATGAATGCTCTGGGACAATGCACATCCCTGATTAGTTTGGGGTAAAAATTCATGCATATCAATTACCTAATTTGCATAATGATTCGTCTTTCCCACTGATATCTCAAGTACTGGTAACCACATTTCAATTAAACTTGGTAAGTTGATGCTGTATTATTATACATCTGTTATCGTATTGCCGTAGTAATTGCGTGCAGCGTTATTTATGTGCATCCTAACATATGGAACACTTACATGGTTTTTTCATTGAAGATGGCATGTGTTTTCGTTCATAACGAGAAAGTTCCAATAATTTTCTCCATTTTGCTCAGTTCTGGGCTTTCTAAACCAAGCGGTTAGATGGGGAAGATAATATAATAATAATGTTATTATAATGGTACTACAAACATTGCTATGCATTGGTTGATTGATTCTGTTTTCATTTTACCGGTAAATATATTTTTAATATAAGTTGTAATGGTTTTTATTATATATGCATCTTATTTTGTATTATTATTTTAACTGTTGCCTCATTCCTTGTATGCTTCGAGAAAATTCCAGCAAATAAAAATCATTTATAGTTTTCTGTGAAAAATAGATTAAGTAAATAATCGTACAATCAACAGATGTCTCTCTGATGCCTACTCGGTAACATGGCAATGCTCAAAACCTGTTTATATTATTAAAGTACTTTTTGTGTGTGTATGTACATGTCACTGAATGGACATTTTGAATGTAATAGGATTTAACAATTTTTAAAAGTACAAGACTGTTAGCAAGGCTTCAATGATTTCACTATGTTTTAATCTGAGTTAATTCTGCTTGAATGGTGCTGATCTGTACGATATCACAATATGTAGAATTCTAAAATGGCAATGCTTGATTAGTTTCACTATGTTTACTGGCTGATTATTTACTGAAACTCCTGCTGCTGCTAATTTTGTGAGGTTGATTTCACTGTTTTTAATGGACTGGATCTTTTAACATGAATTTCCGCTGTTTATATTATATCCATAAGATCATGGTCTGTTTTCATGTTACTGAAATAAGACTTGTTTTTTAAATATTGTATTTTGCTGCTGTCTGATTTTAACCTTGTCTGTATCTGAATCTCAATTTTAAGTTTAATAAAAAAAAATTCTTCAAACAAAAATAGTTCCATTTCAGCTTTATGTGTGCAACATTCGTGTTGATAAACATTGATTTTCCCACAATCCAAAGCACCTATCCACCTATTCCTAAATACATGAGCGTTTGTTTTTGCCACAAATAATGATATCACACAAGAATGTTTATACAATCAATCTGTATTATTTAATATTAACAGCGACATTCAATGTCCGGAACTGTCGCCTGCCACAAAAACATTATAAAAAAAAACGAAAAAAAAAACTACAGTCTCATCTCCCGGGCCCGTCATCATCTATCTCGCAGACTGAGCTGGCACCAGAAATAGTATACTCAGAATCAAGACTACCCCAGCCTCTGTAAAAAAATACGTTTGAATTTAGTATAGAAAACTTTATTTTAAACGATGAAAGATAACATAAAATACGAAAATCGAACTCGTGTAGCGTGATGACTGTGGTGTTCAAATAATTACTTTTCTGGAGATACTAGAACGTTCTGTCTTATCACGTAATCAGGTTTTATAATGTGACAAAAGGCATACTGTACCCCATGTAAAACTGTTTATCACCAAGTACGATATCACACGTTTTGGCCGCTCGTGTGATATTATTTCTGGCTGTGTATTGGTATTGACCGTCAATCCAAGTACGGACCACATCCCGATGATCAAATGTGGCCTGTTCAGCACTGGTCAGATCGGCGTAGAGTTTGTTGTAGTTGATTGTGGGTTCGTCAACCTGCACCAAAGAAGTAGATTAAGACGAGTTACAGTCGATGTGAACTATTGCGCCCTCACAGGCGCACTTGGTCGTACGCGTACCAGTGAAAGGGGGGGGGGGTTCTCTGAATAAAATATGGTACGCAAACTGAAGTAAAAAAACGCATGTTAGGGTACTAAAGTGCGGAAAAAAAGAAATCTCTCATGAATTCATATTACCTCAATAGACCATTTTCCGTACACTGCGAGAATCACGCGTTATGCGTGAAATCGAACGTAAAAACAGGACAAACAAAGGTCATAGCGTCGTAGTCGCGTCAAACATCGCGTGGGATTCGACAAACGCGAAGTATTTTGGGGAACATTTCCATGCTTAATAATGTGCTGTCCACATTTGATGGTAGGCAATTTCGATTAAGTAAGGGTATTCGGAAGCAATATTCCTCTGTCGAAGATCGGCCGGTCAATGTAAGCTGCGAAATAAAGAAATTCTAGTTCAAAATCAAATCGTTCGATTTTTGCGGCAGACGTTCGACGCGCGTCTTTCATGCATCTCGCGAGATCTCGCAATTGTTCGGAAAATCACCTATTTAGAAACAGTTTGATTTTAGTATGTATATAGGGTGCCTATTTTAAGTTTCTGCACTTGAAAAGGGGTATAATTTCACAAAAATAAATACGTGTTGAGAGGCTTTTTTGAAAAGCTATACTTCAGCATGGGTATCAGGTCTGACTTGGAGTAACCCCCCCCCCGGGAGTGTGAATCCGCCAAACGATCGAAATCAAACTAGAATACTGAACGAGGTTATGTAGTTGTTTTACATGTAATATTGTTTTCTGGTACTGCATGTTGACGGCCACATAGAAATATGATTGGTCGTCAACTAAAAATGGTGAGCAATCTTTTCACGTACACGTGTACGGCAGAACGGTTTTGTTTACACTCTTGTTTTCAATATAGTGTATATGTATTACAGTTATCACGTTTTGAAAAACAATATTCACAAGAATGAATATTAACTGACAACTCCATTTAGTTAAAAGTGCAGGCATGTTTCAAGGCGGAAACATTTTGCGCACCGTTTACGACAAAGATTCCATATATGATTTGATTAGCAAAATAGTATTGCCTTGCAGTGCTCACCGAATTATGCTTGTTTGTTTTACATGAAATTCGAACGCGCATGCGCAATTTAATAATTACAATTATTACCTTCAAACGAATCCCATCTATGAAGTTTCTTTCTCCCAAGTTGTCGATTTTCACTTTTGTCGGAGGTTCACCACTGTCCAGCTCCAATTCGTGATTCCGGTGTCGTCGTTTTCGGGTATTAGGTGTGTACTGTATAGAGTACTGTACGTACAATGGATGGCAACCAATTAAATTCTGTCCTTTTCTCATGACGTTACACTGGGTACACTGGCTTCCATGAACAATCTACGGCAACACATACAATTTAAAAAGTTAAAATATTTTATTGATCAGATAATTGTTTAGAAAATCTGTCACTAAAACAATTTAAAATGTGTTTGTTCGCCGACTCAATAACGATTAAGCCTCCTTAAGCCGTTTTTGGCAGAGGGCGCCGTCCATCTAAATCGGGAACATACCTGAGTTTGAACAATGTTATTAGACGAATCTCGCAAGATGACGTAACGTGGCGCCGTCAACTGATACTCCATTTGATACTCTGTTACTAACAGCTGCTGCTCATGGAGCAAACGGAACCTCCGTTGTTGACTCTCGTTAAACCATTCTTTAAATTCTTCGTATGAAAAAAGCGGTATTCCTTCTGAAGATATTACGCCCTCCATGGGCATCGTTTCCTCGTGTGGTGGCGCTCTCTCAAAAGACCCACCAAGCCCGTCATGCACATTTACAGTAATTGTGCTTTCCGATTTATGTAGACGGTGACGGAACGTGAGTAGTTCGGCATTTGTAGCTTTTCTTGCATGACTGCCATCATTCAGGTTACTCACATTGCTGCCATTTGGAGTTCCCAAATCAGCGTAGCTTGTTGGCTTCTCGGCTGTGTTTATCTGTAAACAAAAGGAACATGCTCAACTTTGCGAACAATTTTATAGTATTTTACATTTCATTGAGTTTTTTTTTTTACTAACTCAGTGGCCAAATATTTTCACATCCGATGACTAAAGATCACAAATGATTTGACGATAACTGTTTAAATTTTAACTCTACGCACCATGTCAGTCTTCGGACACGCTCGTTTCTGGTCAGAAGAAATAGAGGACACAGTTTTACTTTTATTCCCAACATTTAACACAGGTCCCTTGTCAACGGCGTCATTCACATTGTTCATTTCACTTTCAGAATCCATGGTTTCGTCATTTATCTAAAAACGGGTTGTATATAAAAAGAGCAGTTAACTTTGTGAACAATTGGTTGTACATGCAACTGACTAAACAACCATATCTGTGTCAGTATATATTTGGTACGTACCTGTTCCTGTTGAGAACGTACTCTTTTACATTGTGAAGCGATAGATGTCACAGCTTTTCGTTTACTCCCACCATTTCGCGCGGGTTTCTTGTTCATTTCGTTCTCGTGTATTTCTTCATTCATCTGGACCCAGGTCGTAAATAAAAACAAATAGTTATGATTGAACATTTTGACATATTTTAAATATAAAATGACTTGAAATAACCGATGTTTACGTGGTTTCATATGTTTCTTACATACCTGCTTTTGTTGAGAACGCACACGTTTACTTTCTGGGGCAATCGATAACATGGCTTTTCGTTTGCGCTCACTGTCTACTGAAGCGTGTATTTTATCTACGTCGTCGTTAACATCGTTTTCCATCTAAAGTCAGATTGTAAATAAAAGAAGAGTGAATTTTGTGAACAATTCATTTTACAGGTTTTAAAAATAATAAACGCTAAAAATAACCATATCTACGTCTTTTCACACTTTTTGTGTTTATTGTTCAAACTTATCGATGTCAAGGCTTTTCGTTTACTTCCACCAGTTAACATAAGTCTCTTATCAACGGCATCGTTTACATTGTTCAGATTCCATGGTTTTGACATTTTTCTAAATGCAAGTTAAGTATAAAAAACGAACTGAACATTGCAAACCGTAACTGACCTTTTACACGTCGAAATATTTAACCATAGTGATAAAAAAAAAAAAAAAAACGTCTGGACGTACGTACCTTTCCCTGTACAAGAAACATTCGTTTCCGGTTTGATCGCCAACGTCTTTTTGTCGGGATCGGTGTCTCATCTTGTCCAGAAGCCACAGTGATACATTTTTTGCTCGGAGAACTTTGGCAGGCTACTCTGACGTTCCTGTCGTCAAATTTCCTATCTATTCGCACGCAATTCGTAGTCATCTTTGGAGTTAGGTCGTACTTAAAGCTGGATTTAACGCGATGTGTTGAGAAATGAACTTCCACATGGGATTGTTTTTGTTGCACAGCAACCCGAAAGAACCAAGAATAGAACTTTTAGAACCAAAGAACGCGCGCGTTTGATTCCACCTACGCGCGCATTTCAACGCCGTGTTAATTTTAGTATGGAATTTTGTTTGTATCTGAATAGCCGTATTTAAACTGACGCCAATTCGCCTATAAATTCAGTACCCTATTATTCGTAAAGACGATGATATTGTTGATGGCTTTTTCACTTAAAAAACAAAAGGTTCAAATGGGCACAATTTCAGGCGAACATATTCGTTTAAGATGCATTCTCACATAATTATTGAATTTTTTGTTTTTTTAATTGTTTTATTATAGTTGATGAGTTATCTTTGACAACATCCTTGTTTTAAACTTGCATATATTTGTAAAAATTTTGGGCGTAATAGTTTGTAAACAAAAGGTCTGTATTACTTGTCGAATGAGGGCGAAGTTGATATGACGTCATTGCTACTAAGAAACCGTAGATACGTACGCTATTGACAACTGCTGATAGACCAGCAATCCTCAGGTGGTCGCAGTCCGTATGGTTTATAGTTTTTGACCGCCTGGTGTTGGAGATTACTGGCTGACATATTTTCTGGCTACGTCTGCATAAACCAAGTCATCATGACAAGGTTAGTATTAGATACCAAGATTGTAGTGGATTGCTTTTCTCGTCGGAATCCGGGCGGCCATCTTGAACTTCTTGTCTTCATTCCACTTTGAATGCAAGTGTAAACAAATGAGTAATGATCGTTTTACTCCCCTTTCCACGTCAGTCTGGAGGACTAAAATCATAAATTCAATAACGACTTTTTCTTCTTTTTAACTACCGTGCTTACAAACACGGAACAAAACAACCGCTAATTCAAGACGTGTACAGTCATAGATTAGCAAACGGTAGGTCATAATGAAACCAGTCGGCATGATAACGTTGATACATATCTTGACAGTGTATATATTTCAGAAAAGGTCGTCGTACAACTGACAACCTATTGATATTGAAAACTATTATTGAAAAACACACCAACAACAATCAGCATGAAAATACAGTGAATGAAAAAAAAAAGAAGCTAAAACAAACAAACAAAATTTATGCCTGTTTTGTAGACCTGAAAAAGGCTTTTGATAGTGTTTGGCATGATGGTCTATTCTGGAAACTATTAAACAGTGGGGTGACAGGTAAAATGTATCAAATTATTAAAAGTATGTACAGTAATATAAAATATAAAATAAAAATGAAAGATGGACTAACCAATCAATTTAATTCAACACTGGGTGTTAAGCAAGGGTGTAATCTGAGCCCTTTACTCTTCAACATTTTTATTAATGACATAACTAATACCCTGGACCATGAATCATGTTATCCACCAAATTTAAATAACACACCAATCAGCTGTCTAATGTACATGTATGCAGATGATATAGTTATTCTTTCTAAATCCAAAAGTGGCCTCCAGAATGCCCTTGATAATGTCTCAAAATACACACAGAAATGGAAACTCGCTGTGAACACAGAAAAAACAAAAATTATGGTTTTTAATAAAAATAATAAACTCTATGACAGTGATTTATTCTTTTTTGAAGGGAATGAGATTAACATCGTGAGAAATTATAATTATTTAGGTATTGTTCTCAGTCCTAATGGAAAATTTAAAGCGG